ATCAGTAAATAAAACAAAGGCAACAGACGGAATAAGTATTTAATTTATTAACTGATGGTTAGATGGTTAAAAAATGTAGAAATTCGTACCTCGCAAGATGAAGAGTGTTCATAAATAAAGAAAAGAGCTCACTTCAACTTAGCTGAAATTTTCTCACAACAAGTTCTCAAGTGGTTTTACCAATTCTTTTTAATGGATAATTACTTAAAACTCAATGCACAATAACAAAAATGCGTCAATTACGTATATACAATGACCTTTAATCAGCTTATCATTATGAGACCTATTTAATCCTTTTCCAACGAAATAACATTTTAGAAACAATTTTTCTGATCCAACGCTGAATTTCATTATGTACTGATATTGTAATTTAGCATGGTTTGTCAAACGTTTAGTAAAACAGGCAACAACAGTAGCACTGATAACGAGCGGAAAAATAAGGAAAATCGCTCTATGTGCTGTTCATCGGAAACACTGATTCCTGGAAGCTGACTAACAACAATTTAGCAGGATACCTCTCACTCGTGGTTCGTATGGAAAAGCAGTAATTATGTAACAGAAACAACAGCAAGGAGAAGAACCGATCAAACCATAAAAACCACACTTTAGTGAGTGAAATATCAGCAGTATTCTCCAGGGAGGAGCGAGGTTGGGCGATGAGACAAGCGGATCCGAAAAAAAAGGTGTGATGCAGTCGTCATTTTTTTTCTGAGAATAACGACAACTTCGGCAATTTTGGATGGGCTGGAAAAATTGTTTGGCCAGGATTTAACGGATGAGCACTTCATTTCTACCAATATCAATATGTCTTCGTTCAAGTTTGCTATTGATAGGTTGGCAGATAGAAGGGTGAATGACGTCATTCCTGACGTCATCAGCGTACGGGGCAGGGGGGCTGGGGGGGCTGCAGCCCTCCTGTCGGAAAAAAATTAGTATTATTCGAGCAAAACTGATATACCACTCGGGCAAAGACACAGTAAAAAATATTTTATTATTTAATATCTTGATTTATTTGTTTTCATCCCGCAACTCACATAATCTTCTAACTGATCTCTGCGGTACTACTTCATGGGATGGCTTTTATTACTCGGAGTTAGAACATTGAGTTCTGTTGAGGGACTGGGAGTGATAATCAAGACCGCGCTGGGACTGGAACTGCGTATGAGTTGACGGCCATGTTGATTAATGTCAGTTCTCGAGTGCATGTGCGTGTTATCTGGTGGATTGAAGTATGTCTTTGTCGAAGTCTCGTAAAAGATCATATCGATACCGTGTGAAATGTGAAGAATGCGCGAAAGAATTGGACTAGAAGCTCATTCCCGAATTGTTCACAGCGGCCGAAAAGTGAAATGTCTGCCAGAGGTAGAATCGTCACAGCTGAAATTAAGTGGTTTCTTCTCTAAAAGCAGTGCAGCAGTCGAATCTCCAGGTCAGACACAGGAGGCACCGCTTGTTGGATGTAGTCCAGAGAGTGAACAACGTACTATTCATTAACATACGAATCTGTTGCAAATATCCAGCCAGATCCTGAATCAATCGACCAAGATTCACTTAAGCCTGATGCGTCAATGAGAGACGTCCTGGAACCTAGCGAGACCAGTGCCCTGATAGATAAAGGCATTCAATCAGATCTCAGAGGGATTGCTGAACTAGAGCTATTGCTGAACTAGAGTCAGAGTCCTCCACATCACCTACGTTGACGACAATGGTACCGAAACAACCTGTTTTACCCGAATATCCGGGCACCAAGTTCAGCAATAAGTCTTTCACTAGACGATTCCAGCCTGACTGCTATAAAAAATATCCATGGCTTAGTTACGATGTCGAAAAAGACGTGTGTGTATGTTTTGCCTGCATAGAGTTTGGAAAGGATGCATCTTTTGTTTTCAAGAATTGGAAGAAGCCATCAAAGTTAACAAAACCCAGCCAAAGTGAGAATCATGTAAGTTGCATGACTAAGTGGCTGCAGTTAAAAGCAATAGAAAAAAAGAATAGCAGTGTTCTGCAGCAACTAAGCAATGCACATAAAGAACAGGTCAAATTTAACAGGAAATATTTATAAGTGATAATCGAGTGCTTGATTTTCACTGCTATGCAAAATATTGCTGTTAGAGGCCACGAAGGAAGTCGAAACGATATCTGGGAAGTGTCAGATATAAACAGAGGAAACTTTCTCGAATTACTCCATTTACGATGCAAAGACTTGCCATGGCTGCAGTCAAAACTCCAGGCGCAGCTCCAGTTGTATGCTAAGTGGACATCACCCACCATCCAAAATGAGCTACTTGCAATAGTGTCAGACCTTGTGCTTGAGAGAATCACGACAGAAGTAAGGAAGAGTGGTTACTTTGGAATTATCATGGATGAAACTTCAGACATCAGTAGAACCGAAGGGGTATCCTTGTGCCTCAGGTACGTTATCAATGGTGAGAAAAATGTTACGGGAAAATTTACTGATTTTCCCGTGTGTGTTATTCGGTACATATTCATTCGTAAACTT